CGATTAGTTTGATGTAAATATAGTTTTATAATAATTGAAGATTACAATATACGAGTAGATTATTTTGTTTATGATATACTTATAGTATATTTCTCATAGAAAATGAATATTCTGAAACAAGTCAAAACAATTTCAATTCAACATTATACTGACAATATCTTTATTATGCTGGTATTAAGAATGCTATAGATTTTCTTAATTTTACAATAAAGCATGTCCTTCATACCATTTTTCTCGGCGATATTTCTTTTGTTTTTCTGACTTTGTTACGTCTAACTATACCATCATTCGAGATCATGAGTATTTGACATATGGAAATCTTGGTTTATTAAATTCATGTAGAATTATTCTATAAATATTTATTTAAAATGAAAAGTGTTATTGATAAATTTTATATGTCAGAAGAAATTAGTGCTAATTATTTTCAGTTTTTTTTCTTTGTTATTACATAATTACATTATCGTCTAAGATAATATTTATAGAAATATCATGACATTTGTCGATCTCTATAAGAGATGGTTCTATTTAATTTTCAAGTTTGATTGAAAATTGTTCAAAGTTCTATGCATATTGTTTTCTTTTTCTTTTATTAAAATCATCATAATTGGTATACTCGAATGATGATAACATACAATACAATAGTCATTCACACTCTGGTGTCTTTTTTGTTTTTACAAAAAGAAATGATTTTCCTAACTCAGTTCCCTATTATGAATGAACACTTCATTTTTAGGAGAAAGATAAAGTTTTATTTTTGTCTTTGCTCATAAAACTTTTCGAAATCTCAAAAATATAAAATATCCTTGAAATATCGATGACAAACGAAAGAAATTTTAAAGAGATGTTTTTTTCTTATTTTTTCTTCAAAAAGGACCTTTTTTCTCATTTCCATGATAGTTGTTGTTTTAATTTATTTTTCTATCTTCTCATGTTATAGCATTTTATTTTTCAAAATATCTTCTACAAAATGAAACTGATTGATTGATGAAATCCTAGCAAAACGAAAAACAAAAAGAAATTGACGTTTCTCTATAAATGCGGGCAGTCGAATAAGTATTTATTTATCGATAAATCCAAAATATAATGATTTCGTAATATAATATGTTCTTGTCTCAAAAATGAATTTTTAGAATTAGTAGTTTTTTTTCCACTCTGTCTTACATACTTTCTTTTGATAGATAAAAGAAAACGTAAAATTGTATGAGTAACTTAATCTTGTTTTTCTTTTTAAATTTCAAAAGAAAGAGAAAATGTAATCAGAAAATTTTATGATTTATTAGATGATACCTATAGAAAGTAATTATCAGTTATTGCCTTTCTTTTCTGTTTTATAAAAGATTTCAACATTTCTTAGTTTCACGTACATAACCAAACTTCTAGTGTACTGTAATGGTTCATCTTTATATAAGGACTCAAGACACGTTAATTCATCAACTCGAGTTGATTTTAATGAAGACTTTTCGTTTGATTACAAAGAATAATTCATTGAACATATTAACTTTGTAGAAAATGTAATCTTCATTTTAAGAATAGTTGAAATATTGACATGGGTATAATCATCAAAATCTGGCATAAGATAAAATTAAATTTTCTTAGTCATATGTATCAATTATGAGTAGACAATAAATGTAATAAAGGAGTAACTATCATTCACTTATTATGAAGGATAACTGTATAAAATAAATCTTTTCGATAAGCACGTTCTGTAAATATCACAACAAACTATCAATAACCTGTATTACTGACTTTTATATATGTATTCAATTGCATTCACAAATTCAGAGAAATAGTGATGAATATAAAACTCTCAAAATTATTTTCAATATTAGATTTAATCATTTCGTGATTGTGGATATATAAAAAACACAACGAATGTTGAGGGTCACGCACCAGAAGTCATGAATTCCTCTCAAAATATACAACTGATTATACACTATATATTATCGTTTTTATTTTATTTTCCAGATATATCTATAGAAAAAAAAATTATTCATTTTCCACATTATGAATAGAAAACAGTGATACAAAAACGATACTATTTCTAGTTTTTGGCAATAGTTTTTTTATATTAAACTACATCAGATAAAATGTTAGTAGAAAGAATGAATTGAGTTTAGATTTTATAAGCACTATCATTTTTACACATTTCACTTTCTTTTGAACGTAATCTAATGTAACGCGTAAAGACAAGAGGAATGCCATGCTCTTACTTCATTGATGACAAATTTTTTCTTTCCAGTTGAACAATGCATCGCTCTTCTCAAGGAGCAAGTGAAATCCGTTAATTGATCATATCAACTGAATTATGAAAATTGAGAAAATATAAGAAAGAACAGAATTGTTTTGTTCATTGAAAATTTCAAAAACTAAATGCTTTTATTTATCAAATCTATTCGGTTTGTTTAAATATTCATGAGTATTGATCAATGAAATAGATAATTGGTTCTAGTTACTGAAAAAAATCTCTGTCTATGAAATTATATCATATGCTTAGAATTAAATGAAGTATATTCTGTGTTTTTATAGATTGCAACTTCATAGACGATAAAAACAAATCTAAGTAAAAAATACACTTGTCAATGTAATGATTTCATGATAGTAATAGACCATTGTAGGTGTATTCGTGTATTTCATATGATTTTTTTCTCTCTTACAGAAATTATTCAACAGATAAAAGAACTTCCTTTTGTTTTCATAGGACTTAGTTTATTCAAATCTTTCATCAAATTATTGTCAGTATATTCTTTGTTCCGATTGCATGGGGATCTTATGAGGTTTCATAAAAAAAGAAAACATACTCAGCAACTTATTTGTGTATTTTTCTTGTTAAGTTTTGATGTTTTTGAAAATAATACAGGCATATTCGGACATATATCCGTTTTCCATAATTTTATAAAGACAATTAAAAAAAGTATTAATTAAATAGGTATATACATAGCTAAACTAGAATATTTTTTATTAGATTTGTCCTGTTTTTCATAATTGATATGATAAAGAACAAATTGAAGGGTCTTCGTTGCTTAATATAGTCATAAAAAACTATTCAATTCTCTCATCAATATAGACATTGTTCAATTGGTATTTTTTTTGCCGATTTCGTTATGCAATGAATTGATGTAGTTATCGAGTGTTTGTAAAAGAGACACTTTTATTGCGATATTTATTTTGTTTTTCTTTCCAAAAAAGTGAACAAACATGAGTAAATAATAGATGAGAAAATGTACAAGCAAGACATTTCATTTAAAGAGAGCTTGCTACAATGCATAATTGAACTAAAGAAATAATAATATAATGTATAAAAGGAAATTACTAAGATTATTAGTTAATAAAATTGATCTGAATATGAGGTATCTTTTGTTTATGCTTTATATTTTATTTATTTAAATCTTATAATTTCAATTAGTTTGTTATCTGTTGGCAATAATAAGAAAATATTTTGTTATACTCGAAGTACGTTAATTTCGTTGACTGAAAAGTGTCTCTGCTTTTTTTAGAAATCAAATTATGTATAGATCAAGTATTTGATTTTGTAAAAGAAATCTCAATAATAATAAATCAATTAATTAATCAACCATATATTTCTTTTCTCATTAGACTTTCAATGAAAAAATTTTGATAAAGATGTGTTAACGTTCTATGCGTATAAAAGAATTTTCGTAAGAACCATATGTTAAGAAGTATAAGTGAATCTTTGAAAAGTAGAAGAAAAATTTGATCTAAATGATATTTAAAGAAAATTGCAAATGTCCTTCTATGAAATGATATCCTTCTCGTTACTTTTATGAGAAGTTTCTATCAATAAAAAGGCTTATAAGAAAAGACTTATTGACATATTTATATTCTATATATATGATAGAATTCAGATTGATGTTGATGCTTAAAGAATATTTGTGTAAAGTTTTTTGTTTAAAATATCAAGTAACTTCTCTCGATTGTAACGTATTAAACAATGAGTCTTTTGATAAGATTCATAAACAATTTTCTTTATGTTCTAATATTTATTCAAATTTAATTTATGTTTCTTTTTTCAAATGACCTCAGTTCAATTCAAATAGTCATTAGTCCAGAAATCTTACTCATATGAACTGCTGATCGCAAGATTCAATTAGTATGATTAGGTACACCAGATCAGGCATCATATGATCATGGTTGCATAAGAGAAACATTATTTTTGAATTTTAATATCAAGACAGACGAACTCTTTGCCAGTATTTTCATATGAAGAAATCCAATATGATTTTTTTTTGTATTAACCTCTTTGTATATCTGTTGTGTCTGTTATTTATTTGATTAAATCAGTAAATTGAATGAAGGCATTAATAATTGTTTTCTTATTCAAACGATTAATGTGGAAAATCAGCTATTGTAATCAATTTAAATTAAATAGTCTGGTTGCTTTGCCTTTTATTTTGAAGAAAGTTCGTTTCCAGGAAAAAGTGCATTTTGATCAGAGATTTCTCTTTAGGTTCTCTAATAGTGTAGAGCTAAGTTCAAATTTGGGTGTGGGTATAGATAAAGAGAAGACCCTACCAGAGATGTTGGTGACTGACTTTTTTTGACCCAACCCGCAAACCCGACCCGTTGAGGGTCGAACCCGACCCGCTGGACGGGTTGAACGATTTTTTTTTTGAGCGGGCGGGTTAGTCTACGGGTTGAAGAATTATCAACCCGTCCCGGGCTGCCCGCGGGTTAATGTAACTTTAATCAGTATAATATTTGCAAAAAAATTCATTAGTTTTTTTTAATTGGTTCTTTTTTTAGTATGTTTTGAAACTAAAATTTTTATCACTAGGATATTATCTTTTATTCCTGAGCATATACATAAGTATTACAAAATTTCAAGTTAAGTTCAAGAAAATAAATAGTCAAGTGAAAGTAACAGCATATGTTCACGTATACAATGTAAAAAGAAGCGGACGGGAAAAATGTGAAGAAACGAAAAAAATTGATCGATATTATTATTTCTGTAAACAAGCTTAGAAAGAGCAGCGCATTTATATGTGTATATGCTTCAAAACAATTAGGTAAATGAATAGAACGAAGATATAGTGAAAACAAGTAATAGAAAAAATTTAGATATTGAAGAACGAAAGAAATAGTGAGAGCAGCTGAATCAGCGGAGAAAAGAAGAAATGAAACGAATAGTGAACGTAAATCTATGTAAAAAAAAAGAATAAGAAGACGAAAGGAAAATTCGTCAACGGGTTGAACCCGCGAGTTCACATAAAAATATAACCCGACCGGGCAAACCCGTAAATCCTGAAAATACCTAACCCGTTAACCCGTAACCCGTCAGAGATCTAACCCGCCCGCGGGTTTACGGGTCGGGTCACGGGTCGGGCGGGTTCATGCAAAACGGGTTAACCCGTCGACATCTCTGGACCCTACCCACACCAACACCCTTCAAAAAAATTTCTTCAAAAGAAAATTTTTATCAAGATTAAATAACAGGAAAATTAGAAGCTGTTGGAGATACAGTAGAACTATTTCATTTTATTTTACATCCAAAAGATGAACAAAATTTAATTCGTGAAGAACAAGATAAAGGAAAAGAATTATATTCACTTTTAGTTCAATTTGAAATTATTCAAGGAGATACAATAAGAAAAATATTTCGAAATAATTCACAAGAACGAGATAAAATAGAAAAGATAATTCGAAATGATCTTGATCCTTCGATTGCCGATTCATTAATTAGTTTATTAAATAGTAAATCTTCTTTTGAAAAAAAAAAGATTTCGACGATATTGTTTGTTATAGTGAAGAATTATGGCAAATTTTAAATATAAATAGAATAGAAAAAGAATTACCACGGATATATGAAAATGTTTGGAAAGATTTAGAAGATAAAATAGATCCATAACAAGTTAATATTTCTCTATTTGAACAATCAATAGAAAGAAAAATATGCGAAAATTAAATTTAATGATAATGGTCATGAAACAAAAG